GTTTTTATCTATCTATCAGGCAGGCACACAGGCAGGCGAACTGGCGGACAGGCGGGTCGGCGGACAGCTTCCTGCCAGGCGAACATAAATTTCAATGGAGGCACGTGCAAAGCTTCTGGCATAAAAATCAATTAGCTTAAATTAATTCCACGAAATATTTGCGCTGTAAAAAACTTTTGCCAAACAAACATGTGCCGCATTCAGCATCTTTCATTTATACACATATATATAAATTTTTTTTGTATGTTTTTTTGATCATCCCGTGAGCTTAGCCTTGTAAATTTTCCTGCCCGACTTGGTTTGAGCTGCCAACTCATTGGCTAAGCGCTTTGGGATCTTTGTAATACCAAATGTGGCAACAGCTCAATTTGTACTTTGCCAGGCCAGGCGTATGTTATTATTTTTAAATTGGCATAACAAATTCATTTTGATAACAATAAAGAACTGTTTAGACCCAATTTTAAAGAAATAAGGTCAAACTATTCATGTTAGGTTAATCATTGGCGTTAGATAATATTGGTTTTCCATACCGAGCATAAATAAACCTTAAGTTTTAATTGAACCATGAAGAAACTGAGTTACGAATATAAATGACCTTAAAATTCTTAAAAATATTTTTAACATTTTGTTTTAGTTTAAATATTAATTTATATAAAACTATATTTGTTATTACATTTTCGTGTGCAGTTTAAACATCATTCATAATTTTAATTTTAATATTTTTTGCTTACATTGATATTTTTAGAAAACGTTGAAAATTAAATTCAGGTTAACTCGCCTCATTAAGTTAATTCCCATTCAGTGAAGTTCATGAACATTTTCTTGCTATAATTTACATTCGGTCAATCGCTCTCGTTGCCTTTCCGCCCATCTGCACATTATTTGGCATACCTGAAAGCTCCTGTCTGATTATATAAGCCACATTTTGTCCATTTTGAACACATTTGACTACGCACACACACACATAAATTAATGTATTATTCGGGCTACCATTATTTGAATAATCAATTAGGCAATTTTCCAAACGATTGGACGAATGCAACAATCAATTGAATTATGACCATTGAAATCATTAAATGTCCAGCTGATGCATATGTAAAATATGAAAACCTGAAAATGTGAAAATGTCAATTTGTGCATATTTTATGAGATGGCAAAGTCAATGACAATAAGCTATGTGCTCTGGGAAAAATTAGCTGTTGCTGAATTTGCTGAGCTATGATGTATAATTATAGCTGGAGGGAATAAGCTTAATTCGATCTTAAATATATATTCTAAGGGCATTTACTGAACTCTAGTATGTAGCAATATCTATGGAATATGCTGTTGAATAACATTGATTTGATCCTTAACTTTGTCAATGAATGCTGCCTACTAAATAAAGATTGTAGAATGCAAGATTGGAGCTATTATTGTTAGCTGCCTTAACTTGGAGCTTATCAATCGTGGAATGTAAATTGAAACGTGGCATAATATTATCATTTGAAACATGATCAAATTTGTACTATTTCTTAAGGTTATAAAAGAAATTCATTCGCTTAGCAAATACAGAAGATTATGTTGAGAGAGCGTGTCTGTGTATGTGTGTAAAGTGCCCGCATGTGCCTCTGATTGAAGCTTTAACTTTAGAGCACGTAGACAAACATGGCGTATACACAACGTGAGCAACAACGCATTGGATACATTTCGAGCAAGTAGTGCATAAATAATTGGACACTGACTGGTTGATAGACTGACGGATGGATTACTAAACTGACTGACTGACAATCTGACGATTGTATTGCCTGACAGATGCATTGATTAGAGCACAAAGCATGAGTGCACCTTCGAGTAGGCAACATATGAAAATCAATGATGGCTTTGGCTGCCATTTGACTGTCAATGGAAAAACTTGGCACAATTGCTGAGAGCTAGAGACGATAAACGATTTCCTCTATCAAGGACATATGAGGGATATTTAACATCGCTGCACATTCCCAGCCGGTTGGATGGCTCACAACGGGACTGGGAGGGAATGAGGTCGGGGTTGAGTGTGCGCACATTTCAAGCACGTCATCGGCTAAAGGGAAACATAGCTGTAACCATGGACGAGGCAGTCGCTCTGACAGTCGGGGCGTCAATCTGCGTGGATTCAACAAAGTTTAACGAACTTACAAGCGCACGCAGCACGTGTATGCACATGTGTCGGTGTGTGGGTGAGAGAGCGAGAGAGTGTGTGTATAAGTGTGAGTGTGAATGTACGCACCTTTGTGCTTACCGTTACTTGCCACACTTTTGTGGTAATGCGTCCACTTATTATGAAGAGCTCTATTTTATAGTCAAAGCTTTACAATTACAGTTAAATATCAGCTTTTTGTGGGAAGCTTTCTTGTGCAGCTTTTGGAGACTTTGCTGGGGTTGAAGTATTGGATTTTAAGGGAAATATTGCACTAGGCGCAAGTTTTTAAGGATTTTTTCATTTCAAATTTGCTGAGCTCCCAACTAGTTAACTAAGCTTTTACGCAAATAACCTAACCAGGATGTGAACCATAAATTTTTCTGAATATTCAAGTTCCATATTTTTCCATATTAAATTTGATTTATATTTTGTTAATATAATTTAATATTAAATATTTTGAAGACTCATCTCATCTATCATCTATCATCTATCATCTATCATCTATCATCTATTATCTATCATCTATCATCTATCATCTATCATCTATCATCTATCATCTATCATCTATCATCTATCATCTATCATCTATCATCTATCATCTATCATCTATCATCTATCATCTATCATCTATCATCTATCATCTATCATCTATCATCTATCATCTATCATCTATCATCTATCATCTATCATCTATCATCTATCATCTATCATCTATCATCTATCATCTATCATCTATCATCTATCATCTATCATCTATCATCTATCATCTATCATCTATCATCTATCATCTATCATCTATCATCTATCATCTATCATCTATCATCTATCATCTATCATCTATCATCTATCATCTATCATCTATCATCTATCATCTATCATCTATCATCTATCATCTATCATCTATCATCTATCATCTATCATCTATCATCTATCATCTATCATCTATCATCTATCATCTATCATCTATCATCTATCATCTATCATCTATCATCTATCATCTATCATCTATCATCTATCATCTATCATCTATCACATCTATCATCTATCATCTATCATCTATCATCTATCATTATCATCTATCATCTATCATCTATCATCTATCATCTATCATCTATCATCTATCATCTATCATCTATCATCTATCATCTATCATCTATCATCCTATCATCTATCATCTATCATCGATCATCTATCATTATCATCTATCATCTATCATCTATCATCGATCATCTATCATCTATCATCTATCATCTATCATCTAATCTATCATCTATCATCTATCATCTACATCTATTCATCTATCATCTATCATCTATCATCTATCATCTATCATCTAGCATCTATCATCTATCATCTATCATCTATCATCTATCATCTATCATCTATCACTAATCATCTATCATCTATCATCTATCATCTATCATCTATCATCTAGCATCTTTCATCTATCATCTATCATCTATCATCTATCATCTATCATCTATCATCTATCATCTATCATCTATCATCTATCATCTATCATCTATCATCTATCATCTATCATCTATCATCTATCATCTATCATCTATCATCTATCATCTAGCATCTATCATCTATCATCTATCATCTATCATCTATCATCTATCATCTATCATCTATCATCTATCATCTATCATCTATCATCTATCATCTATCATCTATCATCTATCATCTATCATCTATCATCTATCATCTATCATCTATCATCTATCATCTATCATCTATCATCTATCATCTATCATCTATCATCTATCATCTATCATCTATCATCTATCATCTATCATCTATATCAGCATCTATCATCTATCATCTATCATCTATCATCTATCATCTATCATCTATCATCTATCATCTATCATCTATCATCTATCATCTATCATCTATCATCTATCATCTATCATCTATCATCTATCATCTATCATCTATCATCTATCATCTATCATCTATCATCTATCATCTATCATCTATCATCTCATCTATCATCTATCATCTATCATCTATCATCTATCATCTATCATCTATCATCTATCATTATCATCTATCATCTATCATCTATCATCTATCATCTATCATCTATCATCTATCATCTATCATCTATCATCTATCATCTATCATCTATCATCTATCATCTATCATCTATCATCTATCATCTATCATCTATCATCTATCATCTATCATCTATCATCTATCTCTATCATCTATCATCTATCATCTATCATCTATCATCTATCATCTATCATCTATCATCTATCATCTATCAACTATCATCTATCATCTATCATCTATCATCTATCATCTATCATCTATCATCTATCATCTATCATCTATCATCTATCATCTATCATCTATCAGCTATCATCTATCATCTATCATCTATCATCTATCATCTATCATCTATCATCTATCATCTATCATCTATCATCTATCATCTATCATCTATCATCTATCATCTATCATCTACATCTACATCTATCATCTATCATCTATCATCTATCATCTATCATCTATCATCTATCATCTACATCATCATCTATCATCTATCACTATCATCTATCATCTATCACTATCATCTATTCTCTATCATCTATCATCTATCATCTATCATCTATCATCTATCATCTATCATCTATCATCTATCATCTATCATCTATCATCTATCATCTATCATCTATCATCTATCATCTATCATCTATCATCTATCATCTATCATCTATCATCTATCATCTATCATCTATCATCTATCATCTGCAATCACACTTAATACTTAATTTACCCACAAAAAGAAGAAAAACATTTTCCATTTGCATCAACATAACATCGTCTTTAATACTGGCTCAAAAAATTAGCTTGCCATAAGTTCTAGAACTAAGTTAAACACCTGGTGAAGGCTTTACCAGCCGTGTTCCTTGTGCAGGACATGCTTGTAAATGGTATAGGGCACAGGATATGGTTTGGGCACTGGAATTTTGATGTGCTTGATCACTTCGACGGGGTAAGGCTTTTCGACTTCAACGGGATAGGGTTTCTCCACAGTGTACGGAATTTTACGTTCAGTTATTTCGGGAACTATTTTGTAAACTGGAACTTGAATTTCCTGCTGCACCGGCACATGGACAGCGTAGGGTTCTGGGATTTGCAGACGTATAACATTCGGCACCTTGTAAATACAGAAAGCACTTTTAATAAAAATTCAAATTGTCATAAAGAGTTGCGATTGACTCACCTGTATAGCCACCGGATGTGGTATGGGCAATGGCACCTTTTCAATGACATGGACTGGTACATGCTTCGAGGTCTCCGAGTACGTGGTGGGAGTATGTTGGTGGTGATAGTCTCCGATACTCGTGCCACTGCCGATACCCGTACCACCTCCTCCACTCCCGCCCTCATAGTGTCCCTCAGCGGAGTGCGAGGCGTAGGCAAGCGACATGCCGCAGACTAAAAGCTGTGCAGGATTCAAAACTTAATATTGTTGTCTGGAAAGCGCTTTGCTTTGGATACACTTACAAGTAACCACATTTTGTGAGCTGAGATTGTGTTTATTAGTTTGATCCACACGCGCCGAATAGCAGTTAAGCAATACGAGTAGCTGCAATAAGTCCGTCGACTTTTATAGTCATAGCCGTCGCATCGCGTTGGCCAAAAGTGAAAGATTTGCCCAATGCTATTGGTCAGGTCTTTAGTTGATGTAACCATAACATTGAAATAGAAAGTATTGCATTACCATTCGGATCGCATAATTTTCATTGTGCTTTTCCAAGCAAATGTTATAACAACAAATTGGGTTCAAGTGGGTATCAAGTATCTCGTAGCTCTCTCTCTCTAACTCGCTGCTGGCAAAGTGAATGGCCTCAGGGGCTTAGACAATGTGGCCCCACCCTGCTCTGGTCTGCCTCCTGGCACAATCTGGACCTATGCAAGCTTTGGGGTTAAGGTTGTTACACGTACTTGAGTTCTGCGATTGTTTCCGTCAACCGTAACCCGCACAGGCGAAAAGTGATAGTCACCAAAAGCCAACGCTCCACTGCAGCCAGTCAGACCACTTTTGAGAGTCGCCTGAGATTTGCCCAAGCACCAATTGTTGTTGTCTAGGAAATGGGCTGCATTGCTTTGTTGCCCCGCGGGCATGGGCACTGCTGCTGCTGCTGCTGCTGCAGGGAACATAAAAAACTGGTTAACCATGACGTAATTTGAGCCAGAAATACTAATCATTGGGCTGCCTAACGTAGAATTATGCACTCAAGTCGGCACGTTGAGGAACTGTAAATAAAGTTCAGTCAGGAAATGTTTTAATGAACTGCAATTTTACCCACTAACACAAAAGGGGAAAACAAAACTCCTCAAATGTAGGTTAGCGTCAAAGCGAAGTGTATATAGCTGCACGAAGACCGCGTATTCCACGTATTGCCATTATTATATTACCTTTTCTATTTTCGACATTATGTTATTTATTTTTACAAAATATTGTTTAGTTATTTGACAAAAACTTTACATCGTTTAACTAATTAACTAATCGAATACAAACTTAATTAAATGTGTTCGCTTATGTCTCTTTATCTATCTCGTCTTCCCACTCCCAGTCGTCGAAAACGTCCTTAAAAGAGAAAAACAGTTTGGGAATCAAGTTCCTTTAGTGAATGCAAAGACCACTTACGTAATCATCCAGATTGCCCTTATCCTCAGGCAACTCCTGTGGCGAACAGGCTACATACGCCACGCCCGAATTGTGGCCGGAGCACTCACAGGTTTGTGCATCAATGGGCTTGGCACTCTGTGCAACACGCTTGGCAAAAATAGTGGCAAATCGCATAATCGGATACTTGCGCTCCGGCGCCAATTTGCGTGCACTAAATACCGATCCGTTTGTCTCCAGCGCAAGTGATGTGCAAATGCCTAAGTTGCTCTTGGGTATGTGCACCTGGCTGCGCGTCTCCTCATCGCCCTCGGGGAAACGTTTCGAGTAGACCAGCTTTTTGTCCAAGCCAAAGAAGTGACGCAGTTTCTTGGTGCGCTCAAAATCAAACTCGGTGTCCGCCAAAATATGCAAATTAACGCTCTCCTCCAGCATGAACTGCAATATGGAGGTGTAATCGAAGCGCATGTCCTTCGGCGAGCAGCTGCTGCACGAGAGCAAAATGAAGGTCTTCGATACACCTGGCCGGAAGTTCAGACGCGATGCCGTTGAAATGGCAAGCAGGATATCCTTGCTGGTGCCATTTCCTGTGTTGATATGCGCAAAGTATTCCGCCAGTTGATCGGGCTTGGATGTAAACACATTACGCTCGTAGATAATGCTGCGCGGCTTATCGTAAGGCTCAACGCCACCAAAGGCCACAACCGCATAGCTAGAAGGGAAACAGAATTAAACGATAAACTAGAGAAGCCCCGGGAAATATTGCTCACCGATTGTTGGTTATCTTAGCAGCCTGCAGTTGCTCCTCAATGCTGGCCACGACACTCATAATGCTCTTGGTCTCCTTGAGGTTCTGATTACAAGACTTAGCCTCCACTATGAATACCACATCGCTGCTGCGCGGTATATCCGCACCACTGAGCTCTATAAACTTGCCCTCCGGCACATACGAACCATTTGCCAGCTGGCAGCTGTTAAATAATTTGCAAATGTTTAGCGTGAGCGGATTGTCTGAGGTATCAGCTCTGCACTTACAACACACACTGATCCGGCACACGCATGGGCACCTTGAACGTGGTACAAGTCTCGATGTAGGCTAGCGCAGCAGCACAGGCACCCTTTATAGCTGGATGACCCGGGCGTATGGGCTGTGATTTCATGCCCAGATCCAGGCACATCTCGTAGAAAGGCGCCGAATCGACGACAGCACTGCAAGCAGACAAAATGCCCGAACGGAAGAACCTGTTGCATATCTGCAACACTTCTGGACTTCTGGGCAACGGTTTGACAAACTGTGTCTGCTGGCAACGCTGCAGACTCCAGGAATCGGTGAACTGTTGTGTTTGTGCCGTTATCAAGCCATTGGACATTGTGTACTCATCGTAGGGTTCATTATTGAGCGTGCCCAGCAATCCAGCTGTCTTGGCAAAGTACCAGCCGCTCACCTCAAACCAGCAGAGATCAAACTGAACATTGCAGTGCAGACTGAACTGTGTATCCGAGATGATGGACAGAATATCTAACTCACGATAAATGTTAACAGCGCCCAGCTTCAGAGGTAATATGGGCTGGGGATTGCCATTGATGCTAATGTGCTGGGGGCATACAAATTATTCAAAGAATTGAACAGAATCTATAAAATGTTCTACTTACATCAGTGCCAAGATCTATTTCAATAAGCTCTCCATTTGCAATGAAGCTCAGCTTGCGCGTAGGCAAATCTCCTGCTTCGCGGCCATTCAGGGGCTGGGCCTAAAGAGAAATACAATTGTACGATATTATCTGTCAGGGCAAAAGAATTGAGCAAGTCTCTTCTTACCGCTGGCTCAAGCAACAGCGTGAAGTTACGCTTGAAGAAGTCGTGTGCCAACAGATAGCTGCAACGTCCATTGCGTCCACCATTTTGCAGCTGTTCGTAATTCAAATTGAGGCCCACAAAACGCTGGTCAAAGGTCATATAGTGACGTGAATCGATGAGTAAAGCACGTGCTGAAAATTTGTAATGTAAACTTTATAATACAACTCTCAGCCAATCTGCTACGCTTTACATACAATAGTAGGGAGGCAGCCAGGTCTTCGGATCCAGATGGGTTCTCATATTGTACAGCTTCATGATGATCGAGGAGTTGGTTTCGCTGAGGAAGCTGTTCACCTTGGACAGCATTTTATATTCGGGTATCTCCTCAAATTTGGGGGTTTCATTGAATGCATGCCAGGACATGGGCAGCTTCTGTTCCAGATCAATGATGCCCACCTCCGGATCAAAGATGAACTTCGTCTTGGCCTCCCTGTACATGTCCGCCGTTTCCAGAGCATTCAGCGCATAGTTTCGGAACTTGTTGCGCAACAGTCCATACAGTTGATGGATGCGATACTCCAGCTGCAGCTCATCGGCTATCCATTCCAACTTGGCTACAATTTCGTTGTACTTTTGCACCACGACCTGCACTTGTTCGATCTTTTGTAGCTCCTTGATCTCCTGCCAGATTTCCGTAAGTACCTCATGTAGCTCAGCTCCAAATGGCACCAGCTTGAAATACTTCTCCTTGATGAAGTTCCATGCCAGCGTCGAATACTTTTTAATATTCGTAATAGCATCATTCGCCTGGATATCCCTGTACAGGCGTTCCGCATCGGCAGTAAAGCTGGACATTTTATTGAAATAGGGCGATTCAGCTAGTTCGTTGGTCCGTTTGTATATGAAGTCAAACACCTCCTTGCTCAGATCCCAGAGTGTGGTCTCTATAAAGCTGATGATCTTGAACATGTGCGGCTCGAGGCGCTTGAGTACACTCAGCCAATAGGTCTCCGCCAGACGCCAGAATTTATTCCACAAATTCTCAATGTATTTTATGAACTTGATGTGCAGCTCCTTGACGAACTTATCATACTTCTCTATGCCCTTTCCCATGAGCGTCGATATGTAGGTTAGACTTTCGCCATGGAAAAAGCGAGTGATGGCATCTAAAACATTGTTGTAGGTCGTTTTAATGGTTTCTATGAGCCAGACAATGCTATTGCGCAGCGCCTTGCCCGAATCACCCATGGCATGCCACAGCTCCGAGAATATCTTTGGCACCGACTCGATGTGATCCCTGATAGCCAGCTCGTCCAATATGGTCAGCGTAAAGTTGACCACATTTTTGATATAGAAATCATTTGCCTCGTACGACTGATTGACAAAAAGCCGCAAATCGTTAAGATCTTCCTCCAATACGCTCAGCTGGCTAATATCGTCAATAAAGTTTTTGTTGTATTCCTTGGCTGTACCCCAGATGACGCCCATCGATTCCACTGACTCGGTGTATAGAGATTTGATCCAGAAATCAATGCCATCCGAGAAGGAGGTGTAAAGCGAATTACTCATGCTTTCGATTTTCTCCCGCAATTCGTCCCTAATGCTGGGACGCCAATGGAAGCGTCCTGTGATCAGGCGAGAATGGTTCATCTTCAGATAAGAGCTCACATCAATGATGCGTATTTCCTCATAATTGCGCCAAATGTCCAGATAACCACTACGAGTATCGGGTATATAGCCCACCATTTGCAAATTCTGGCTGGCGTCCTCAGTCAGATTGAAATCCATGCGTGCAGTGCGATCCACTAGATTTACATAGACATAGCCCGTGTGATTGGTGTCGGGTGTGTCCCAAATAGTTGCATTCAGGCCGTATACCGGATACTCTACAGTTGGCACTAGCCAAAGACGCACGGCGTGGTAGGGCGAGCGACGCTCGTACTCCAGCTCACGTTTATTCAGATCCACCAGAGCCAAAAACTTGCCATACAAGGGTGAATAGTCGCGTTTGTAGTGAGCTGTTGACTCCGTCTTATAGTACGAAGGCCGCGCCACCAGCGTACCATTCATCTCAACGTCCAGTTCCGATGCCGGATGATAGCCATAGATCTTCAACGTATAGTTCGTGTATC